AAACACAGATCGTTAACAACATTGATTCCGCAACTTTTTTTTAATCGAAGATATTTAAGACCAAAGGTAACTCGCTTTGATTTTTATTCATTTCTTCGACGCTAATGTCCTGATATTTTTTTTTAATTTGTACTGATTTGTATTGAATTTTCAATTATGAGAATACAAATTATACAAAATAAATAAATAAACCCTTACTAGCCTGGCTCTGAATAAAAAACTTTGAAACTTGGTTTTATAAGGTTTGTTGTTTATAAGAAGAACCACAATAAAAAAATAACTAAAATCAAAAAACAAATAGTCAAAACGTGTAAATATTAAGGTGTCGTATAGTTTTGATAAGCACTATATATGTATGTATATACCTGCACATTGGATGGGGTGCTTATAGCCCATAAAACAGCATCAGCTACATCTTCCGATTTAAGGCTAGGCAGCATCTCTTTAACTACACTACGAATAGGCGATGGCAGAATATCTGTATCCACTATGCCCGGACTGATTGTCTGAAATAAAAGAAAACCTAAAATTTTTGAAGTTTCCCAAGGGCTTACGGCGGACCTTCATAGCATGCGTATCCGCATGCGTGAGTTTTACATTTACATCCATAAAACTCTCTTACGCTTTTACGTTTCTTTTACATGCGTTGCTATGTATGTATGCACGCATTCGCTATGGAGATCCGCCTTTAGATATACTACATGTACTGGTCGGCAGAGTGACTACGGAGAAGAATTATTTTTTTTTTTTGTTAATATATACACAAGTATGAGTGTATTAGACAAACATATCATTTTTAACTTTTTTAAAATTAAATATACCTATTTATTCGGAAAGGATGAGCTAAAAAGTTTCTGCAGGTAGTTCCGAGAAAAAAAAAAACAAGAAAAAACATGCAACCAACAGTTTTTTTCGAAACTGCGTTTTTCACAGATTTTGGTAGGATGTATTAAACTTAAATAAAACTTTTAAAGTGTTAGTACCAGAGCGATTTTTGGCTGCAAATTCCAGGTGAGTTTATTCAATTGGCCAAGTTGTTTTGAAAATCTTTAGTAAAAGTGTGTTTTCTTGGTTAGTAGGTTTTGGAAGCTGTGCCTGTTGACCTCGACTTTAACAACCGTTACATAGTCGTCGCTTCTGTGGTTTCCAAGGAAATTATTGCACAGCGCTACAAAACTCTTCCATGCACGTTTTTCTACAGAGCTTAGCTTGTTCAAAAAGCCCACGTCGCTCATAATTTTACGAATTTGAGGTCCTATGAAAATACCAAAAAATCATAACAAGAGATAGAACCGATGAAAAAGTAGCAGATGAGAGAATAAAAAAATTAATAAAACGAGTCTTTATTTTCAAAAATCGGATGAAATTTTATTGAGATATTGAAACAAAATTTGTGAAAAAATTATATTTTTGTCGATACGACTCAAAAATGTTTGCTTGACCTTTTTTTTTAATTTGACATTTTCTATGATCGCAAAGTATGGATTTGAACACGTGCAAGGGCTTTGCAAGACTGCTAGAATACCCCTATAGTTTCATATATCCTAGCTTTAAATGCAGTGGTGGTAGGACAACATTTTCAGCTATAACCAATAGGGCGTTTAAAACGTTTTTCCCACCTATTTGATGCGGCTCGCGGGATCGCCATACTTTGAAATCATAGAAAATGTGAAATTAAAAAAAAAATTGTCATGCAAACATTTTTGAGTTGTAGAGCCAAAAATAACATTTTTTCAAAAATTTTGTTTTCATAAAAAGTTGAATAACTCAGTAAACTTTTATCCGATTTTTGAAAATAAACGTTCATTTTACTCATTATTAAATTAAGTTTTACAATCAATTTAGGACTATTAGAAAAATGCAAAAAAAAAGTAAAAAATAAATTTTTGCTGGGTAAATACACACAGATGTCATAAGGTTTCTTCATACACATATATATCATTCTAAAGGCCTAAGTTTCTTCTTTTTAACCCGGCAATAAACTGAAATTCGCTTCATAATCAACTAAGTTGCAGGCTTATAAGTGCACAAAAGTTCGAAAACCGGGTTTTTAACGGTAAATCAAAATTTTCAGGGTGTTTGGCGAATTTCATATTTCGATTCTTGTTTCACTCAAAAAGACCTACCAGAAAATATACATAACTTCCCGGGTTTTTTTTAGTGCAGC